ATAGTTGTTGGCATGGTCCAGAATTTCATGAAAGCCTACGACTTCACATTAGAAATGGGACCTTTTAAAAGTAGCTGAAAAGTGGGATGGTAATTAATTGGGACTGTTCCTGCCAAATTGGGACACTTGGAGGGTATCTTAGTTTGACCTTGCCTATCAGAATGCCAAAGCAGCCAAATCACCAGTCAACTGATTTGTGCCATGGACTGCTGTGTTTTATTGCATTAAATCCCCACCACCACCACAAAAATAAGGGAAGACTCTATGACTTCTAGATACTGAAAGTGTTTCTGAGGCCAGAATCTCAGAGTAAGCACAGTTTATAATGAAGGTAATGGATGTAGGTTGCCCACTGAGCATGCCACAATCTCTAGGACTAGAGTGAAATATTTACTTGTTTTGAGACAAACTGATCTTCTAGTGAATAGAGGATTCCTTTCAGAAAGGAAGCATTTTGCAATCAGATTTGGCAGCAAAGTGTCTTCAGAAAACCTCATGTCATGTATGAGGCAAGAAAGAATGCTTTCTATGTCTTTTGGCCTTGACTCAAAAATATTCAAAAGGAGAGGGCATTGCATAATATTTACAGAGGCATTGCTAAATCCCCAGGGTTAAATAAAATGCACAATGGAGTGTGGTAGATCTAGGATCTTCTCTCCATGGAGAAAAGGACTTCACTTAGAAATGTTTCCACCTCAATTTGTGGGATCTCCCTCTCCCTACACCACAGCTTTCCCTATTTAGCAGGATTGTCTGTTTTTCAAGTAGCGTTTTCAGGGGGTTGGAGGGGCTGCCATGGAGAGGAGTAGGACATGGAAATCCACTTTCACAGCCCAGCTGGAATATGTGTAAGAGAGAGTCAGGATATAAATTAAACAAATAAACAGTTGCCCACACCTAAATTTGGTAGGCAGGGTCAGCATCGTAAAAAATATTTCATTAATTTTATCAACAGAAGCAGAAAAAGACCACAGGATGATTTTGTATTTGGTTTTCTAGGAACAGGACCAGCTCTTGTCAGGAGCAGAGTGAGACCCTTTTTTTCACATGGGGGAGCAGTGGATGGATGTCCCATATACCAAGCAGCCTGCCCAGTGAACTTCCCACATGGCACTCAGTTGTGTTGTTCTTAGTTTGTTTGCTGTTCATGTTGCCATTCAATTGTGAGCACAGAAATAAAGAGTTGGAAGTAATGTAGTGGCCTGCAATGAGTTAATCTTTTAAAAATGGCTAATTAATCCATAACAAAAGTAAAAAATAACACAATGAATGGGAACAAAATCGCTTCACGGGTATATTGAGTAACATTTAAAACATTTTTGGATTTTAAGCATCTTTAGACATGCAATTTTTAAGTTTCTCCCCAGAATTCTTTCAAGGTTGTGCTGTTAGTGTTACCTTACTCCAATGCCAGTTTTTTAAAGCCACACAAAGTATCAAGCAACACAATGAATAAACACTGTAAGAAATAATGACAATGAATTAATTGATGAGCACAATTATAATTAGTAATTGGGATGAATTACTTTGTAGAAAGTAACTTTCCAAGCATTGTGGGACCTTCATAGTTGCCCTTCACCTCCAGTATCTTTTCTCATAGCAGGGCATTTTGAGTGGGGTACTTTGGAGTGGGGTACTGCTAGGCTCAATAGTTCATTCTGGTGTGACCATGAGAATTTGACATCCCTGGCCCAATTCAAGCTAGACATATTTTTGCATTCCTTGCCAGCTTTGAATTGTTCTTTAATCCAGGCTTTTGGCTAAAATCTAATGGAATATCTGTTCTTAATCCATAAATTATTCTTGAAAGCCCTGTTTAAGAGTTTAGGACTGTTCCATCTGAACAGGTCCAAAGGGATGCATGGAAACTGAGATGTTTTTGAGGACTTTTTATGATTCAACTGTCTATATCATAAAGGCAGCAGCAGAAGGGACATCCTTGACAGGCAGTGGGGAATGTAGGGGGAATCCCCAAAACATATAAAATAGATTTTTTTTGTCTGCCTTCCTTCTCCCTCAGCACCACTATCTCAAAATATGTGCAAGCTGTCTTTGTTTCCAGTTTGTAGAGAGATCTTGTATCACATTTGAGATTAACTGAAAGAAAGAAATTGGCAGCATGAACTTTTGTAGACCAGTCTACTTCCTCAGATGCATTAGTTTCCAATTGTGTAAGAGAGCCACTGTAGTGTAGTGATTTGAGTGTTGGACTATAACTCTGGAGACTAGGGTTTGATTCCCTACTTGGCCATGAAATCCACTGGGTGACCTTGGGCAAATCATACTGTCTCAGCCTCAGGGGAAGGCAATGGCAAGCTTCCTCTGAACCAATCTTGCTAAGAAAACACTATGATAGGTTCACCTTGGGGTCACCGTAATTCAGTAACTATTACAGGCACACAACAACAATCTTCCTTACTGAGCTTTGATAGATTTCAATTGGTATTATTTTCTGTATACAAATTAATTCTCCACTAATGAAAGTAATCAGATTTTACAGGATTGTGTGGCAGCTGGTTGTTCCATGTTAGTGGGACAATGAATCCATTTTGGGCTTTAGATTAGATTTTAAAGATGTGATACAAGTTACTAATCCTTACCTTCCAAATAAGTTCAGCATCTTGGAGAGCTCCTTTTGTGTTTGGACAAAAATTTGGAGTGGACTCATTGCCCTACCATCATGGAAGCCACCAGCCTTCACTCCTTCTCAACCTCCCCACAGTCCATACTCTCTTTCTCTCTTCTCTCCCTGGTTCCCAACTTCTTTCCTTTCACACTGATCTCTCTCTCTTTCCCAAGCTTGGTAATCATTTGGCCTGTCCCAATTTTGCTTAGGTTTCAATATCTTTTGACCCCCTCACCCTAATATTGTTTCTCATCACTCTTATCCTACTCTCTTTCTCACTGTTCTTTTCTTCCAACCCGGTATTTCTTCACTCTTTGGGTTTCTATAGGTGATGGCTGGATGCAGATTACGAATTTGCAATGGAGAGTTACGCACTCGTAACTGTTACATAGTCACAGTCTCTACATAGGCCTTAGTTTAGGGGCTACATAGGGAACATAAAAGTCATCAGTTTTAATTTACTGGTCAGCAGTTGCTGCAATCAAGAGGGGTGTTTGGGTTGCTTGAGAAGCAGCAGACTGATATCCAGTGCAAGGGGGAACTGCGACAGGAATCCTACCTCTGCCTGTTGCACCAGAATTCACTGATAAGAGGGGTGGAACCAAGGAAGAGACAAGAACATAGTAGGAAGCAGGAATTCTTATTCTTGCATACTCCCTCCCCCATTCCCCCCAATTAGAGCTACATATGCATGCACACATGTATGCTAAGCCAATTCCTGCTAGAGAGGAGGAGGAGGTGAGCAGTTCCTGGGCAGCCATTTTAAGGGGTGAGTTTTGAATTTTTCATAACTCTTGGGAGAGTGTGTTGTTGCTGAGGGGGTGAAGCTTCTGTGAGTCACACTTGTGAGTCACTAGGGAGTGGAGGTAGCAGTTTAGCTCCATATAACTCCTCTTAGGGGGGTTGCAGACTGTCAAAAATAGTGTGAATTCAGTCCACTTTTAGGGTTAGGGTTAGTGCTAGGGAATCATGGGAATTGTTATTTTTCTGAGACATTGAACCTTCTTTGTCAGAGAACTCTAGTGCCACAATAAAATTCAGTTCCCATGATTCCCTAACCTTAACCCTAACCCTAAAAGTGGACTGAATTCACACTATTTTTGACAGTCTGCAACCCCCTTTAGAGCCTTCTAGACCTTTTTAAGCCAGTTCCTGCTAGAGAGAAGAAGGAAGTGAGCAGTTCATGGGCAGCCATTTTAAGGGGATGAGTTTTGAACTTTTAATAACTCTTGGGAAAATGTTTTGTTGCTGAGGGGGTGGAGCTTCTGTGAGTCACACTTGTGAGTCACTAGGGGGTGGAGGTAGCAGTCTAGCTCCGTATAACTCCTCTTAGAGCCTTCTAGACCTTTCTAGGCCAGTTCCTGCTAGAGAGAAGAAGGAAGTGAGCAGTTCATGTCAAAGTTAACAGGGGACAGAGAAAAGGCAGAATTACTCAACACCTTCTTTGCTTCAGTCTTCTCAGAAAAGGCAAAGGGTGCTCAACCTGAGGAAAATGGAGCAGAAGACAGAATAGCTGAATTTCAGCACAGAATAAGTAAAGAGATAGTAAAGGAATACCTGGTTAATCTAAATGAATATAAGTCTCCGGGACCAGATGAATTACATCCAAAGGTATTAAAAGAACTGGCAAACGTAATATCGGAACCATTGGCAATAATCTTTGAGAACTCCTGGAGAACAGGAGAAGTCCCAGCTGACTGGAGGAGGGCATCTTCAAAAAGGGAAAAAGAGAGGATCCCAACAATTATTGTCCAGTTAGTCTGACATTAATACCAGGAAAGATTCTGGAGCAGATCATTAAACAGAGAGTCTGTAAACACCTGGAAGGTAATTCCACAATCACAAAAAGTCAACATGGGTTTCAGAGTAGCAAGTCATGCCAGACAAATCTGATCTCTTTTTTTTGATAAAATTACCAGCTTGGTAGATGAAGGGAATGCTGTAGATATAGTATATCTTGATTTCTGTAAGGCCTTTGACAAGGTTCCCCATGACATTCTTGCAAACAAGCTGGTAAAATGTGGGCTAGACAAAGTAACTGTTACATGGATTTGTAATTGATTGACTGGCTGAACCCAAAGGGTGCTCAACAATGGCTCCTTTTCAACCTGGAAAGAAGTGACCAGTGGGGTGCCACAGGGCTCTGTCCTTGCCTAGTGCTATTCAACATCTTTATCAATGACTTGGATGACAGCATTGGGGG